AATCTTCCTCCAATCCTAATGCCACATTCTTCTTCATATAATCCAGCCTCTCAGAATTGGTTAGCATACAGATTGAAAAAATACGGTGAAAGGATACAACTCTAGCACACACCTTTCCTGATTTTAAACCTAAAGAATGACCTCTTGTTATATGTATAGGTTCTTCAATGAGCACAATTAAGTGTTATGGAATACCCATTCTCCATAATGTTATCCATAGTTTGTTATGATCCACAATCGAAAGTCTTTGCATAGTCAATAAAGCACAAGTAAACATCTTTCTGGTATTCTCTGCTTTCAGCAAAGATCCATCTGATGTCAGCAATGCTATCTCTAGTTCCACATCCTCTTTTGAATCTGGCCTGAATTTCTGTCAGCTCCCTGTTGATGTACTGCTGCAACCATGTTTGCATTATCTTCAGAAAAATTTTACTTACATGTGATTTTAAAGATATTGTTTGATGGCTTCTGCATTCCATTGGGTCACTTTTCTTTGGAATAAGCAGACATATGGATCTCATCCAATTGGTTGGTCAGGTAGCTAGCTGTCTTCCAAATTTCTACGCACAAATGAGTGAGCACCTCCACCAGTGCATTAGTTGCAGAAACATTTCAATTTGTATTCATTCAGCTCTTGGAGTCTTGTTTTTCGCTGATGCCTTCAGCATTACTTGGACTTCTTCCTTCAAAGCTATCAGTTCTTTATTATATGCTACCTCTTGAAAGGACTTTTGGTGTGGCGCTATAGGATACACATGGTCAGCAGTTCAAAACCACCAGATACTTCTCGGATACCCTATACAGGGTCACTATGAGTTGGAAATAACTTGACAGCACTTAACAACAACAAACCTCTTGATATGGTTGAACATCAACCAGTTCTTTTTGATACAGTGATTTCCTGTGCACTTCCATCTTCTTTTGATGCTTTTTTCATCTTTCAATATTATGCCCATAGAATCCTTTAATATTGCAATCTGAGGCCTGAATTTTTTTCTTAAGTTATTTAAGCTTGAGAATTGCTGAGCACATTCTTCCTTTTTCTGATTCCAGGTGTTTGCGCATTTCATTATAATATTTCACTTTGTATTCTTGAGTTACCCTTTGAATTCTTTTGTTCAATTTTTTTACATCCTCATTTCTTCTAGTTGCATTGCCTTCTCTCTATGATCAACTGCAGGTTTTGGAGTCTTCTGACATCCATTTTGGTCTTTACCTTTCCTTTTTAATGACCTTTTGTTTTCTTCATATCTGATATTCTTAATGTCATTCCACAATTCAATTCTGGTATTGGTCATTCGTGTCTAATGTATTGAGTATGCTTTTGAGATGGCCTTAAATTCAGGTGGAATATATTTAAGGTCACATTTTTGCTCTTATGAACTTGTTTTAATTTTCTTAAGCTTCAGCCTGAACTTGCAGATTGTTCCACAGTCAACTCCTGGGCTGGTTTTGGCTGATGATACTGAGTTTCTTCATTGTCTCTTCCCACAAATGTAGTCAATTTGATTCCTGTGTGAATCTGATGAAGTCCATGTGTACAGTCACTATTTATGTTGTTGAAAATAGATATTTGCAATGAATAAGTCATTAGTCTTGCAAAATTCTAACATGCATTCTCCAGTATTATTTCTATCAAAGCTATATTTTTCCAATGTCTACGGCTTCTTCGTTTCCAACTTTTACATTCCAATCACCAATAATTATCGATGCATCTTGTTTACATGTTTAATCCATTTCAGACTGAAGAATCTAGGAGAATTCTTCAATTTCACCTTCAATGGCTTTAGTGGTTGGTGTGTAAATTTGAATAACTGTTGTATTAACTGGTCTTGTAGGTGTACAGCTATTATTCTATCACAGACTGCACTGCACTTTGATAGATCTTGAAATGCTCTTTTTGACAATGAATGGGACAACATTCCTCTTCAGTTTGTCATTCTTGGCGTAGTAAATCAATTCAAAACGGTCGATACCAGTCCATTTTTGCTCACTACTACATAGGATATTGATCTTTATTGTGTTCTGTTTCAGTTTTGATGATTTCTCATTTTCCTACATTAATAATTTGTATATTCCATGCTCCAATTATGAATGGATGTTTGCAGCTGTTCCTTCTCATTTTGAGTTGTACCCCATCAGTAAATGAAGGTCCTGAAAGCTTTACACCATCCATGTTGTTAAGGTCAACTCAACCTTGAGAAAGCAGCTCGTCCCCCAGTAGTGTTTTGAGTGCCTTCCAACCTGAGGGGCTCATCTTCCAGGACTATATAGCTGACAATGTTCTGCTTTCTATAAGGTTTTCAGTAGCAAACCTTTCAGAAGTGGTCTGCCTCTCCTTATTCCTAATCTGTCTTAGTCTGGAAGCTCAGCTGAAACCTGTCCACAGGTGAACCTGATGGTGGTGATGTGCCATGGAGTCGGTTCCAACTCATAGCTACCCTGCATAGGGTTTACGAGGCTATAAATCGTTATGGGAGCAGAAAACCTCATCTTTCTCCTGCAGAACTACTGGTAGTTTCAAACTGCTGACCTTGAGGTCAGCAGCACAACTCGTAACCACTATGCTACCAGAGCTCCTAATGGGTGACCCTACTGATACATTTAAAATACTGATGGTATAACTTCCAGCAATGAAGCAACACACAAGCCACTGTAGTACAACAAACCAACAAATTATAAGTAAAACTATTTTAAAATATCAGTAGACGTCTGTACCAAAAATAAGTTGATTCACAAGCCCTCCTCATAAAATATTAAACAAATATAGAAATCAAGAAAGGAAGTCTTTCTAAATTTGAATTCCTCCAGTGATAACTACTACTAATGACTTTGTATATATATGTACTTTTCACCACACTTTTCACAAACATACACTGTGGCTTCAGGGTTGGGGTGCAGGAGGAGGAGAGGCTGTCTGCTGTCTGTTCCCGTAAAGATTTACAGCCTTGGAAGCCCAATGGTTCCAGCTATGAGTCAGAATCAACTCGCTGGCCATGAGTTTTGTTTTTTAAACATCAGAAATCAGGCACATGAAGCAAGCAAGGCTAGGACCTGCCTATCTTTTACTGTGATGGATGAACAAGTGGGGGATGAAGGAGTACATGAAGCCTAGTGAAAAAAGAAGTCATTCAACCCACTTTCTCCTCCCACAGACTTGGTTTGATGTCTCTGGGTTTTGAGGTGATGGGATGCTTACTGCTTGATGGGAGACAAACAAAAACCTCTGAAAAGGTCAGTCATTGTTTGACATTCCATCTCCAGGCTCCAACACATCTCCAGGCTCCAATACAAACAGCAAAATATTCTTGCAACACAAAAGACATCTGGTTTCACATTTGTTGTAGAGTTCCACAGTCAAAAAAACCCTGATCATTCTTTGGGAGAAGAAAGTTGCTGGGTTACTTAAATCTCTGCTATCTGGACATTTTTGGTAATGAAATTTATCTACCTATCGCTTCAGAAATTTTGATCAGTTTCTTGGAGTTGGTTGTACAAGATTGAACTTGTATGTTCAAACTAGGTATGTTCCTATGGAAAAACAAAGTGACTTAGTCTTACATCTTATTCTAAGGTAAAAACAAAGTGACAGTAAATAAAGGATGTGCTAAACTTTGGAGCCCTGAGCTCTATTTTAATTAGATGACAAGTCCCTTCAAAATGGTGACTTGGCTAATTGGGCAAGAATCTTCCTATTTGGGGACACTGTTCTAGAAATAAAAGTTCTCCATTTACACACAATGGTTTGTCGTCTCTTTAAAGTCCAGCAAGAAAGTAACTTCAGCCAGCTTACCCACTGGCCTATAAAGTGGGGCAGACTGAAGACTGCACAAAAGCCTCCCCACAAAGACATCAGACCACATCACCATTGGCGGATGTGCTCAGCTGGAAGAATAAGCCACGCTGTCCATTTCCTCTTTCTAATTTGAATGTAAAAACAAGCCAATCCCTAGCACATAATGTGCTAACTTTTCTAGACAGGCATATAGTATTTCTGTCTTTGGCTTTCCATGAGTTTTCTCGGGTTACCATACATATTAATACGCATACCAGTATTTGAAGAAAGATAAATACAGGGTACTTGGTGATTATTTTAAATTGAGTTCATCTGGGAATTTTAAATCCTGAAAATGTAGCCCCTTTGTATGGTATTTTAAGGTCCGAACAGCATATGTTTTTGCCCTTTTGAGTGGCAAATCCCCCTTTAAGAGTTTCAGTGACATGTAATACATTTCAGAACCAACTGTAAAAACCATTAGATTACAAAATGATGCATGAGACAGTGATGACAATGTTCCACCCTTCATATTCCCCTGCCTTTACAGTCTAGCCTTTACAGCTGCTTCCTACTCAGAGGAAAAAGCCCCAGGTCCCTGTGAAGATGGGCTCAGCTCACTAGTAGCAGATACTCTGTGACTCATCCTTCTACTTATACCATTGGTTTTCCTTCTGCAGAATGGTACCCCTTCCAATTTTAGGACTCTCTAAGTCAACAAAATAACAGGTAATTGAGTAATAAGAGTAATCACAAGGGGATCAGAGAGCGAACCCTCACATTGTGAAGACACCCTTTCCCCTTTATGTCACTGGGTTCAACTTACTATGCTCCAGTTTCCAAGCTGCCTGACCAGGGCTGGGATCATAATAGGCCATATCAGAGGCTGAGGAACTTCATGGTCTGATTCACCAGGCCCCCCATTCAATAAATCTGGAATTTCCTTGTTCTCCTTTCAAAACTGAGGTTGTTGTTGTTGTTGTTGTTGTTAGGGGCCATCGAGTCCGTACTGACTCACAGTGACCTTATGCACAGCTTATGCAAATGATAACTGAATTTCTCTATTGTCTCCAGTGCAGAAGTGCACAGAGGCATAGCAATTAGCAATCTGGTCAGAAACAGGAATATTGGGGGATAGATATGAGGTAGGAGAGGTGTCACCTCCTAACTGCGGTTCAAAGCCTGGCTCACCTCGGGATGAGGGCAGTGAGACATCATGACTTACGTGGTTCCTCTTGCTGTCTTCATTTCCCATAGATGTAATAACTGTCTCTGAAAAGACTGTTTGTCCAGTCTGATTATTGGTCACCTAGAGTAGAGAGGTTAGAGTGAATGTAGATAGAAGCATCCGGGGTATTTCTCAAGAGTGTTTCTGTTTGTTCATTTTCTAAAGAAAGACTATCTGGTCAAGTAGACAGAATGCCCTCTCCCCTCCCCTGACACACACTTTCTGAATTCTACCAGCAATCATCCGATGGCCAACTTCCTCTCAGTGCAGTGATAAGAAGTGTTCACAGGCTACCTCACAGGATTGCTATCTGGAGATGAGGAGGCCCGTGTAGCACACTTAGCGCAGTCCTGACACCTACCAAATGTTCAACAGCATGAGCAGCTCATCACTTGAAACTCAATGTCAACTTTCTTTTCAACAACCACAGGTCTGGCTGTCAGTCAGACATCCTGAGTGAGAAGTAAGCAGGTCTTAGCAACAGTTTCTCCAGGTCTACTCGTTTCTTTATGGGAGACCTATCCCAGTACTCTTCTCCCTAGCCTCTACTCTCCGTCTCTGATTCTGTAAGCAGGTGTATGAACCTGGCAGCTTGGCCTTAGAATGCTGCTTCATCAAGTCCATCTGGAATGTGTGAGTTGGTAACACAGAGCAGAAACGACACTGGCCCAAGAATTAGAAGACCTGTGTTCTTGTGGTCCTGGCTCAGCTGTCAATAACCTGGAACAAGTACGTTCTCTTCTTGGATTCACCATTTTTTCATTTCCAGATCATTTTATAAATCCCCGCCAGCTCTCCTATCCCAGGAGTCTGCAGCCAAAAACAAAATGGAAACTCTACACCTGATTTGCTTAGAAGTGGATCAAATTCCAGTTCTGAAGAGGTAAAGGCAAAGTCCTCATCACCATGCCTTTATGTGAATAATTCCTCTTTTCATAGACAGACAATGACATCTTCCTCTTCTATGCCAGATTTTTACCTGTGTGACTGACATATTTTAAAAAGATTCTATTATCTTCTATGCATGGGTTAGTGGACTTCTCAGAATCTTTATAATGCCAATGTGTTTTTGAGGATCTCTAGAAGAACAGACCCAGCTTGTTCCAAATGTTTTTCACTGAGCTCCTTTTACATGAAGCATTGCACAGGTCTGGTATCCTGTGAGTGGAACTTTCTTGAGAACTACTGTACTATGTTGCTAAGAGAACTTTAATAAAACAGAAAAGAGTCCTGGTGGCTCAATGGTTAAGCACTCAACTGCTAGCCAAAAGGTTGGTGGTTCAAACCACTCAGCAACTATGCAGGAGAAAGACTTGGAAATCTACTTTCATAAAGATTACAGCCAAGAAAACACCAAGGTTTGGGGTCTCTATGAGTTGGACTGACTCAATGACACCTAGCAACAAAAATAATACCAAGTTGCTTTGCACAGCACTTTATAGTTTACAATGAGCTTTCCTATACCATAACATTATTGGATCCTCACAATAGTATACATATTATGTATAATTATATATAGAGATAATACCTATAGTACTGTATCTATAAATACCGTATCGCTATGGATCGGAACAGACTTGGTGGCACCTAACAACAACAATAATACTATTACTCTATGAATTATATTAATGATTCCTGCAAGGTGCAGTTTGCACTCAAATACTAACTAAAAGGTTGGTGGTTCAAATCCACCTAGCTGCACTATTAAAGAAAGGTCCAATGATCTATTTCCATTGCTGGTATTATTATGCTTTATTGTTATGTGCTGTCAAGTCAGTTCTGACTCATAGCGACCCTGTACAGGGTTTCCAAGGAGCGGCTGGTGGATTTGAACCACCAATCTTATGGTTAGCAGTTCAGTGCTGGTCCTATAGCGCCACACCAGGACTCCAGGGGATTACATTGTGGTACCTCTGCAGGGTAAGTACTGGACTATTAACCTCAAGGTTGGTGGCTCAAGCCCATCAGCTGCTCCATGGAAGAACAATGAGGCTTTCTGCTCCTGCAAAGATTTATAGCCTCGGAAACCCTATTGAGGATCACTATGAATTAGAACCAACTTCACAGCACTTAACAACAACAGTTTTATAAATACAGTTACAGAAGGTCAGGAATTTTTTCCCCCTATCACTTGTAACAAGGAGCTCTGGTAGCGTAATGGTTACAAGTCGGGCTGCTGACCTCAAGGTCAGCAGTTCTAAACTACCAGCTGTTCCGATGGAGAAAGATGAAGGTTTCTGCTCCCGTAAACATTTACAGCCTGGGAAACCCTGTGCAGGTCTCTATGAGTCAGAACTGACTCCAAGGCACATAACCACCACCACAACCATCACTTGTAACTGTTGTTGTTGTTGTTAAGTACCATGGAGTCAGTTCTGACTCATAGTGACCCAGCACAGGGTTTCGGAGGCTGTAAATCTTTAATAGTGCAGAAAGCCTCATCTTTCTGCTGCTGAACAGCTGGTAGTTTCAAACTGCCAGTAGGACACAAATTCATGAGTTCTGACATCTATAAGGAGCAACTTTAAGAAACAGCCAAACTGTTGTATGAGTTAATATTGGTTTTAACAAGAATAAAATAACATTTAGAAGCATTCGCTAGTGTTCAGACAAGTTCAAAAGAATTCTGATAGCAAGTGAACTCATTCATTTACCGGGAGGTGTGGGTGGGGGTACACTCTTTAGCTGACTCCTTCCAGCTGAGCCCACCAGGACGGATGGGAGTAGGTCCACACATACTTGTATATTCGAAGCAATTGCTTATAAAAGTTGACCCTAGTATGCCCCATGGCACAGAAACATTGTTTCAACCAAAGAATTACCTGGGCACTTGAGCTAACATAAGGTTCTTTTGTCAGTGCCTTGTGGTTTTGCATATATAAGTCAAGAGGAGATTCAGGTCAATTTCCTTGATATTCACAACAGAAAGTTAACTTTGCAGCCTCTAATAATGATGCCCCATCAGCTACATAACACAAACATACACAGTTTACTACTCTCAAAGTTCTACCAAAATCTTGTTGGAGACATCTCACATCCCCCTGCCCTACTGCTATTGAGCCAATTATATTTTATATTGACACTCCAGAAGAGAGTAGAACTTCTGTAACGGGTTTCCGAGACTATTAATCTTGATAGGAGTAGACAGCCTCATCTTTGTCCTATGGTGCAGCTAGTGGGTTTTATCTGTAGACCTTTTGGTGAGTAGCCTACTATTTAACCCACTGCATCCCATACCAGGGGGAGGCTAATGTATGCTATGCCTCTCTAGATTTGCAAAGTTTTCTTTGTGACGACAGATTAAAGGTAAACCTGCTTGCTTTTCATACAGTACATTAGACTGAGAGACACTTAGACAAATGGTCGGTTGGAAAAGAATCTTCTATAGAATTCTCAACAGATAACCAAGCAAACAAACAAATTTTTAATCGAGTAGTGACAGTAATTTTCCATTTTGAAGACAGGCTAAATCACATTTAAGCTTCTCCTAAGGAAACAGTGAAGCTCTAGTCAACACAACATGGTCACTTCTATTTCAACACCCTATTAAAACACACATAAATATCTAGGAGATAATTACAGTCTTTAACGATCCTTCAGGTCTGGAAATGAACTAATCCTCCCCATATCCACCTTGACTCAAATTCCAGCCAAACAACAGACAGGTCAATAAGGGGACCAGTAATACTAATGAAGAAGATGCAGTTTAGAATAAGCAACCATATGAGATCAAAAGGGCAGCATATGCTAAAGGACAAAGTTCAGAGGGTTGGGAAAGAAGGAAGAAAGGAAACCGGCGACCTAGAGGAACTGGGATAACAATTAATGACATGAAACAAAATGCATATGAATTATTGAGTGGAAAATTGATCTGCTCTGTAAATTTTCACCTAACTCACAATCAAGAATATATATCTATGGAAAAAAATTCTTCCTCAAATTCAATACCAGGAAAGTGTGATTTCTTTTTTCAAATGACAAAAATCCCTGACTATCCCCTAGGAACTGGACTGTCAGGAAGCCTAGAGTTTCATTTATTGCTTAAATGCAAAAGCAGTTTAGGTTCCTGATACTATTTCTTCCCTTTAAACAGCTCTCTCATTCAATCTGGTTTTTAATCTGTATTTGACCAAGCTCATTTGTATGCTTAGTTTATGCATAAGAGAGTTAAACAAGATCTGAGCTCTCTGAGGGGACTGGATGGGACAGAAAGGAAGAATTATTGCCCCTGGCTGCCCTTACCTTGTGAATTTCTCGGTGCACGTGGATGGTATCAGTTCCAACCTTGGTATCTGTGTTGGTCTCGTTGTGGTAGATTAGGGGTAAATTTTCCAGTTTGACTTCTGATGATGTTTTATCAACAGCTTCTTCTGCTTCCATCTATTAAATCAATGGATGTAATGAGTATAACTGTTCTCTCTTTTTATAAATCACAGTCCACTAGAAAAAACACCTCTTTGCCTCTTCTGCAATTACTAACTATGGTGGCAATGATAAGTACTGTTAATTGAGTACTTACTACGTATAAGACACTGTAACTAAATGTTTTACATGCCCTACCCATTGTTGTTCTATTTACTGATTCCAACTCATAGTGAACCTTTAGGGCAAAGTAGACATGCCTGCAAGGTCAGCAGTTCAAACGCACCTGCTGCTCTTTAGGAGACAGATAAGGCTGACTGAGTGCTTCTGTAAAGATTTACGGTCTCAGAAACCCTATATTGGGTTGTTATGAGGCAGAATCATGAGATGGCAGTGAGTTTAGTTTGTTGCTGTTGTTGTTTTTAGAGCTATCTCATAGGGCTTCCAAGACTGTAATCTTTATGGGAGCAGCCGGCCATATTGTTCTCCTACAGAGTGGCTAGTGGGTTTGAATTGCTGATCTTTAAGTTAGCAAGCAAGCACTTAACCACTGTACTACCAGGGCTCCTTTACAGAAGCCCACCTGCATTCAACTCCCTTCCATTCTCAGCTGTGTGCTTAGTTCTAAGGGGCTAAACCTCTAGGGACAATCCTCAACCTCTGAGGCTATCCCAGCTTCCTCCTCCATCAGCAGGACAATTGTGAGGCAGACAGAATCTACAGTCTCGCTTCAAGGGCCCTCAGTGGGATTAAACCCAACTTGCTCCCTAATGATTGCATACTTGATTGACTTTCTTCTCCTTGCTGTATCATTGCCCCACTGTTTTCTAATGTTTACTGGATACCTGCCAAATTATTTGCTCCCAAGGTCTTGTGTAAGGGTCCAGTGAGGGTTGGGAGCTCAAACTAAGACAGCCTATTTAACCCTTTCCCACCTCACCCCCTGCAGTGGAGTCCATGTATCAGGTCATTTGACTGGACTCTAGGGTCTCACCCCTTCTGGGTCTTCTCTGACACTGTCCTCTGGGCCAGTTTTATGAGACTCCATGACATCTACATCAGATATGCGAGGGCCTCAAAAAACTTGTAGAGAAACAGCATTAAAAATAATGGATGTTTTTCACAAATTGTTTGAAGCCTCTTCCTAAATCCGTCAATTTGCCTGCTGTACCCAACGTCCTCTTTTGGATTTATTGCCCTGCCCCCAGCTCTGATGAGTGGGCAGTAGACACCATGAGCCAGCCTTGTGTCCAGAGCCCATCAGATACTCTTCGAATTAAAGATGAGAGACACAAAAAGCCATTCTAGTTGGTAGCTGGCAATTTTCCAATAATGCTATCTCTGTTATTTGGGCTCTGGGTTGTTTTTATTCCTTAAGAGTAATCCTCAAAAATTTTTTCCCATTAAAGAAAATCACTGTCTTGTATTTTATCTTTTTAGGAGCCCCTCTTTCCTGCCTTCACCAACCAGACTTGCAGATCCAAGTGGATATGGAAAAAGAATTCACAAGTTCCAGTGTAACACAAAAGCACTGTTCATTTGTAGTAGCCACCAAGACTCAAGCAGCTCTGGTCATCAGGGACTTCCCTTTACAAATACAAAGTCAAACAATCAAAGACTTGGCCAGGGACTGTTGTAAGTCCAATGTTGTGTTTGGCTCTCAGATGAATGCTAAGGTGTTTGAAACTTGATATTGGTTTTATAATAATAATAGCCCCCATATTTGGACATCTGTTGTGTTTGAACCATAACCAGATACCTTCCACGGGCCTTGAATATTCACAGTAGCCTAGTGAGTAAGGTGTTAGATTCTGTCTAATGTCATCATACTGTTAGTAAGTGGCAAAGCCTGGATTAGATCAGATCCGTCTGGCTCCAAATTATGAGCCTTCCCAATTAAGTCCTGGTGTGGCACTATAGGATAAGCACTGGACCGCAAGGTCATTTAAATAGCAAGGTTGTGGTTCAAACCCATCAGTTGTTCCTCAGAAACCCTATACAAGGTTGCTGTGAGTCAGAACTGACTCAGCAGCACTTAATTTATGCTTTTACTGGGGAGGCAAAAAAGTTCCACCGAAGCCAGTTAGAGTATGATTATGAGCTGACTTGTGTGACAGTCTCTAGAAACAAGTCAGAGGTTCAAAGGAGAAAGGTGGGAGGAGGTGGAGGCATGACTGGGTTAGTGTCAAGGGATAGGTGGGAATTGGACACAGGGGAGTGTAGAAGACACTCCAGGCGGGACAAATAAAGCTGTGGTGGCTTGGACATGAATGGTGCACTCCGTGGGAGTCAGCTGGGCTCGAGGGAGAATCCATGCTGGGCAGAGGATAACATGGTGGATGATAAAAGAGAGAGGAGCCAATGGGTAGATCCAAGGGGCAGCTCTGAAGTCTGATTCTCAACCTGGAGGGCACATTAGAGCCACCCCCCAAATCTTTCAAAATTATGGATGCCTAGAACTCTTCCCAGACTATCAATTTAGAATTTCTCAACTTGCAGCCCCAGATATCAATGCAATTCTGGGTATGCCACCAATGACCATAAAAATGCTGTGAATGTTGATTTGGGGATTACAGTAAATTTTAGCAAGTAGACAAACTTGCAGGTACAGAATCCACAAATGAATGACTGTAACATCCAGTTGTTTTCCTAATATTGTTCTTTTTAAAAAGCAAGGAAAATTGGTGATACAACTCAGCTGCTAACCTAAAAGTTGGCAGTTTAAACTCACTCAATAGCTCCACACGAGAAAGATCTAATGATCTGTTCCCAGAAAGATTACAGCCCAGAATACTCTATCCAGAAGTTCGACTGTCACATGGCGTTGCTATGAATCAAAATCAACTCAATGGCACCTAACAGCAGCAACAAGAAGAAGAAGAAAGTAGTTTTAGAAAAAGGTAGTTTGTCAGTTTATAAAGCGAACGGAAGGGTAGAAGTGAAAACAACAGGCAGCCAACAAAAGGAAAAATAAATGGAAGAGTCAAGAGATTCTGGCATCTTTAGTGATAGAAAAGGTACAGCTAGACAAGATGAAGTGCCTGAAGATGCTAGAAAGGATATGTCCAGAAGGAAAAAGGGATGTTTCAATATTTTAAAAATTCCCATTGGACTCTGAATCCTTCTGTTTGACTTTCAAATATTGTAATTCAAAAGCTACCAAAGCTGGAGTTTGCTTTGTGTTGAGTAGATAATATTTTTATAAAACCTTCCTCCCTTCTTAGTCAGTGGTTTATTTCAGCAGAATGAGCTAACAGTTCTTTAGTGGTACCATGAACTAAAACTACAGCTTACAATGGAAATTTCAACCACAACTATTACCGCCACTAGCAAGAGGGAACGTAAGTCTGAAGCAATATGAGTGGAAGTTTCATAGCCGAGGAATGTGAATGCTATTAAAAATGACATTTATATTTGGTTGAATCTGTGTGTCCATTTAAGGGGCATAACAGGAAAACGTGGAGAGATGAACTTCGATGTGGTATTGGGGTTCTTCCCAGGAACAGGGGAAGTAATAAGACTAAACCATGCCATTTACAGATGTGGCAATGAGGGCAGGAGAATGGAATGTTTTTGTTTTAAATCTTCTGTGCATTGAATGATAATTTACATGGGAGGACATCAGTTTTGCACTCATCCTATAGTATTTCATATCATTGCAAAGATTACAATCTCCTCTGTGCATCACCGTTCAACAGTATTTGCTTCTATTCCCTCTGGTTTTTGTTTTGTTTTGTTTTTGATGTACAAAAAAATACCCAGGAATATATAATAATTTAAACAACCTAATGGCACATTCTGCAAGCCTGCCTCCTGACCAGAAATGGAATGATTTTACCCTTGAAATAAATGTATCAGTAATAGGAAGAATAATAAAACAGGAAGTTGGGAGCATCCTGTATTGAAGTCATTAAAGACTTCTCCCAATAATGATCCTCCAAGTTATTTTGTCTTTCCCCTTAAGAGACATCAATAACTTGTCAGCTGGAGTATTTTAAATACCAGGAAGTTACTTGAAAGCAGACTCATGATACAACTATGTAAACAAGTAATGCACTTGGACTAGGTCTTTACTAGCTATTTATCTTTCACTGGACAAAAACTAAGTAGTTACTATTCTTTTGTCTTTCTGGGGCTTTCTGGCAAGCTCTTTTAAAAGCTTAACAAGAATAGCATAATCTATTGGAGTCCTGGGGTGATGCTGTGGGACAAAGTACTGGACCCTAAGGTCTGTTTGAACCACAAGGTCAGTGGTTCAAACTCACCAGTCATGCCTTGGAAACCAGATACACTTTTTCTATGAGTCAGAATTGACTCGATGGCACTTAATAACAACAGCAACAATTAAGAATCTATTCCATATCAGACACTGGTGATAATTTATACTCATACCATTTTATTAATAATAATGATAGCTATTATTTCGGGAGAACTAACAATTTCCCAGAATCCTTGCGCTCTTATAAGGACTTTACTTGTACCATACTTATTTAACCCCATTTTAGACAGATAACTTGTTTTACTTACATTCTCTCATTTAATTTTCCCTTTACCACAAGGAATAGACATTTTCTCTATTCAGGCCTTGGGTCCTGTTTCTAGTAGTGGCAGAGCTGGGACTGAATGACAGAAAGTGGTCCTTGTTATGGATTTAATGGTGTCTCCCAAAAAGATATGCTAAAGTCCCTGTAAATGCGACCTTGTTTGAAAAGGGAGTCTTTGATGCTATAATCAATTAACATGAGGCCATATTGAAGTACAGTGGATCTTAATCCAACCTGAGTCCATTGCATAGATTCAGACTCATAGCAGAACTGGCCCATAGGGATGCTGTATATCTTCATGGAAGCAGACTCTTTCTCCTACGGAATAGGCGGTGGTGGGTTTGAAACGCCAACCTTTTGGTTAGCAGCCCAATGCTTAACCCACTGCATCACCAGGGTCCCTGAGTAATTCTTTTATAAAAGAGAAGATGCACAGAAAGCTGGAGACCGGTCATGTGACTACCATTGTTATGCTGCAGCTAATGTTGAGGCATGTTGAGGCTACCAAAAGCCAGGAGAGACAAGACAGGATCTTCCCCTGGTGACTTCAAGAGAGCCCGGCCTTGCTGACAGCCTGGATTTGGAATCCTGGCCTCCAGATTTACGAGACTATAAATTCCCATTCTTAGAAACCACCCCATTTGCCGGCTTCCCTTCTCACTCTCTCCCCACTGCTAGTGGGGATACTCATTTGGGAAATGACCACGGAATAGAAACACAGAGGTGGTCTAGTTGTTCTTACTGGGAATCTGTATGCAGGAGGAAAGTTCTGGAACCGAATAAGGAAAAGAGATGACCTGGAAGCAGATGGGTCACAAGCTCAATTTCATTTGAACTTGAAGAGTGAGGAGACAACGTGAACTATGACCCCTCGTACCCTTTCGTTGGGGTATTCATGTTCCTCTATCATTTCCGGCTTGTTTAACCATGGTTCTTTTCTATCACAAGATGCAGAAAGACTAAGGTCTTAAAGGCTGGGCCTATCTAGGGTACAGTTTCCTATGTTACTACCTTCTAATTTAGTGGCCTCTTCACTGCAAATTCCATCAGGTTGATTCTTGTCAGGGGAAGAGGGGAAATGTCCCAAAACTCCCCAAACCTCTCCTGGGTAGACACTAGTTAGCTTTTAAGGCTTTGCCCCAGGCGCCCCCAGGTGGGAGGCAGCAGGGATGGAGAAGCCTGACATGTCTTCTGTTGCTGAGTTTTTCAGAGACCAGCTGTAGGCCAGTAGTGACCGTGCCCACTTAGCCCAGTCACCAGGGACAGCTTCCACACTAACATTGGGAGTGCTGGGCCAGCTCACCTACAGTCCAGGCGGTCCTGATAAGAGGGCAAAGCAGGATGCCATCCAGGGTTTACACTTGTGAGGTAACAGAAGAGGAAGATCTTTGCCAAGAGACATAGTATCGACTAATAATAACTACCGTAGATTGAACAGGGTGGAGCTTCAAACCACCCAGCAGCACCACAGAAGAAAGACCTGGCAATCTGCTTCTGTTATGATTACTGTTGTTGTAGAAGCATTGTCGAGTTGGTTTCTGACTCATAACGACCCTGCATAGGGTTTCCCAGGCTTTAAACTCTTACAGGAGCAGAAAGCCCTATCTTTCTCCCATAGAGCAACTGCTGGATTCAAACCACTGACCTTGTGGTTTGGAGTCCAGTGCTTATCCTCTAAGAAAATCCTTATAGAACAGTTCTAACGCTATAACATAATGCATTGACTGCACAACAACATTGTCTTTGTTTTTAAATATATTGAACAACTATTGTTTTGCTGTAGGATAAGCACTGGACTGCTAACCTCAAGGTCGGTGGTTCAAACCTACCAGCTGCTCCTCTGAAACCCTACACAGGGTAGCTATGAGTCAGAATCGACTCAACAGCACTTAACAACACTTATCACAGCATCTAGTTCACAGAGACATGTCCAGGTCTAACTCCAAAGTACTCATGGGGTGGGCATGGGGTTGTCTCTCACATTACCCCCTCCTCCTTTCATCCTTTTTTTCAGTACTTGGTTAGGATTTAGTTCATTTCCCTTCTCTGCCGTCAAGTCAAGTGCAACTTGGGGACACAAAATAACCCAGATAGATGAAAAAGCACAGTTCAGGGATGTCTCTGTCAGCAAATGGCACCCTAACTGGGTCTAAGGGAGATGCAACAAACTCAAAGCCCAGTAGGCAAGTTAGCACTTGGAAATCTCCAGGAGCTTTTACAACGTCTCTACAAGCTACAGCGCTGGAATACCAATGGCCTTGCAAGCACCCGCTTGTCACAGGGGAGGCCAATAGCTTGCAGACCATTGCGGCTGATGGAAGGAGGAGTATGCAGGCAGGTGGTGACTTGGGCTGCCCCGTGGGAGTCCCGCTGGAGATACTGGGTGGAGAGGTAGAACATGGTGGGATTTGGACTCCTCCAACGCTACCTCCCGTTCCCAGCCATTCGCAGGACTCAGGTTCTGGGCCATCGCTGCGACTACCTCACAGAAGTCAGTCCCCCTCCTCCCATAGCCTTGCGCTCTTCCTGGAGTCCCGCGCCTTCAGTGTGCACCCACCTCCTCCACCGCGCTGCGCAGCTTGTGCTGCGTGTCCTCCATCAGTTCCTCCACCTCACGGAACATCTCGTTGAGGGTGGCCTCCTCCTGAGGGTAGCTGAAAGCCGGACCAGAATCGCCAGGAGCCGAGGTAGTAGTTGGAGCTGGCGCGGGTGCCGTGGGGACAGCCGCAGCCAGTAGCAGGTACAGCAGGGTACCCCCGAGTCTAGACATCTCTGCTCTGCGCCCGCCGCCGCCGCCTGCGATTCCCCAGAGCCGTCAGCGGCGCGCCACCACCCCCTCGGCCGCCCCGCCGCCCCGCCCCAGCCCCCACCCCCGTCTCCAGTCCCACCCCCGTCCTCCTCTGCACACCCACCCAGGCGGGACGAAACCAAGTCTTTATTCCCTTCCCAGACGCAGCTCCAACCCCCAGCCCACCGGACAGAATACCGATATCCGCAGCTTCAGCCCCGTGTCCTTATATACGTACCCCATCCTCCTGCAGAAGCTGAGCTCTGCTCCCGCCCCCAACCCTGCCACCCCCAACACCTTAGCCCAGCGACCGAGTTCAGCTCCCCTATGCTAACAATTTCTATAAGCCCGGGGTTCGAGCCCTGACACCTTTCGACCAGATCAGAGCCCAGTTCTAGCGCTTCGACCACCCACTCGCACACCAAGTCTGTCTCAGCTCCTCGTAGGGTGGACAGGGCACAGGTCAGCCCTCTCCCTTCGGAGCCTAAACTCAGCCGAGCGCCAGCCCCTCACCCACCCAGGCTAGCCTGAGCTGAACCATCGCCGCCCACTGCCGCCGCCCCTCACCCACTCCTACTGGACCGAGCTGCTCTCCGGGCCAAATTTAATCCCGCTTCTCCGGAAGGCTGCCGCTGGGTAGCGGGAACAAGAATCGTGTAGTGGGTAGGCGGGGAACGCGGCTGGGATGCAGCAGCGCTGGTACCCAGGCAAGCTCGCACCCCGCCCGCTAGCCCGCCCTCCCTTTTCCCTCCCTCTCCCCCCTCTCCCTCTCCTCGGGCGGGGCCGCGGTCCTAGACGCCCCCATTGGCCTACCAGTCGCCTGTCCTCACGCCCCAGGCCAGCCTCTTCTGCCTCTGAGATAAACTCACAGGAAGCCTTCCGCTTCTCTGCCTCCCGTGGCCTCTGCAACATTGCAGGCCACTGTCATTTCTGGCCTCCATTCTTGCAACAGCCTACTGAGGGGTCTTACTGAATCGCCCTTTGCTCCGCTCCAAACCATCTTTTTCACAGTACGCAGTCCTGCCAGATAAAATCCCAAATCCTTAGCCTGGCCTTAATCTGTCTACCGCGGTTGACTCCGTTCTGCAGCAGAAAAAAATCTACAAGTAAGCAGAACGAGCTTACTTGTAGTTGACCGAATGATCTGAAGACTGTCTCAAGCTCCTTAGGGGTGGCAGAGCCGAGCGGTCAGGACCAAATCCGTATCCAGACTGCCTGGTTTGAAGCTCAGCGCTGCTCCGGATTTCCTTCCCAACCTGGTCATTTCCAGTTTTGTTTGTGACCCAGTTTCCCCAAATGTACAATGAAGGTTACAGTAGGATGCCTATCTCACAGCTAGTAAGCATAACACAAGACGCCTCCGAAGTGGAAAAAATACCTGGTCATCTACTTTTGAAAATCAGCCAATGAAAATCGGGTGCAACCTTATAGCTCACCACCGTCAACTGACTGACAGCAGCTTACACCAACAATATCATAGTTACAACAGGAACTGTGTTTTATTTACAGCAGTCTCCCTAGCGCCTAGAACAAGGGGCACTCACATATTAAACTATTTAAGTATTATTGATTCACTCATTTTTTATATGAGTATTTTTTCAAGCCTCCTCCTTTTTCTATTTGGACAATCTTGCCTCCGCCCCATCTTTCAAGATCCATTCTCTCCTGTCTCTTCAGAGGCCCCCTAGCATCATGTGCTTGCTTCTCCATCAATGCCCTGACTTACCATGTCTCCCTCAGAGACCAGGAGCTCCAGGGAGGCAGAGACAAGCTTCCTCACTTTGTGCCAGAACCTCAGCCTTATGTAATGTACATAAATAGACATGCAGATCTTTACATCAATAGCTGTGTGCTAGGTATGGGTATTAACTCACCTAATTCTCAAACAACCCTCTGAGGTTGGAACTAGTACTTTCAGATCCATTTTACAAATGAGGAAAGTTTCCCAAGGCCACACAGCTAGGATTTAAATCCAGAAAGCTCCAGGCTCTGCTGCTGCAGTCCTGGCTGGGGGTATTGAGCAGGTTCAGAGACCACTGGTGATCACTTGGGAAATGTGTTGTGTTCATATACCTGGTGCACAGCAGAATGTCCTTCGGAAAGAAAGCCTCTTTGGGAGCCTTGTTGGTATTAAGCGCTATGCTCACCACAACTCAATGAGAGAGGACAAGGAGACCCAAGTAAAGTAAGCAGTCAGCTCAAAACCAGAAAGTAAGAAAGTGGTAGATCTGGAAGTACTCTTGGTATTGCTGAATAAAAGTCATACTTGTAACTTTATTCCTCATGGATACCTTTCTTTACAGAACTCCCCCATTTACCGTTTGCTACCGAGATGTGGCTCTTGTCACTTTCTCTTCAACTTCTGGGCTTCTAAGTGGGGCCCTCCTGAACTCCAGGGAAAGCTCTCTCCCCTACATCTCTTGCTCTGGCTCCTGAATGTTTGGTGACCCAGGGAATGACTGAATCCAGATTAGGGCTGAAGCTGAGTCTCCAGAGAACCCACTAATGCAGGACTAGTGGGATACTGCCAGTAGGCATACTTTGGGGTTGGGTTAGAAGTTGCAGTGGTGTAGGTTTACAGAAGAAAAATGTTCTTTTCGGGTTCTCCATGAAACTGATGTAAGGGAATTCCCCAGGATAACACTTACCTTCTACCTTAGGTCTTTTGCCAAGAAGTACACAGATCTTGATTTACGGCCTAAACTTTGTTTTTGTTTTGTTTTTTTTTAATTGGTGAGTTGCCCCAGTATCAGGTAAAGAGCTATACATTATCTCATATTGTGTCTAAATTATATACTCCCAAAAGAGCTCGGGTAGCTTAGTGGTTACAAATCGGGCTGCGAACCTCGAGGTCGGCAGTTCAAAACTACCAGCTGTTCCGCAGGAGAAAGATGAGGCTTTCTGCTCCCATAAAGATTTGCAGCCTCGGAAACCCTGTGCAGGGTCACTATGAGTCAGAACCGACTCCACGGTACTTAACAACAACAACAATGGTAGCAATGTGTCAATGAATCTAATATTAAGTGAAAACTATCCAAAACACACACACTAACAGAAAAACTCATTAAAAAAAAGAAAATGGAAAAAAAGTTAAACTATGGTGTTGTGTGCCACCCACTCGATTCTGACTCATGTTTTTAAGTGTTGTCGAGTCGGTTCTGACTCATAACGACTCTGTATAGGGTTTCCAAGGCTGAAAATCTTTGCCAGAGTCTCAGCTTTCTCCCATGGAGTGGCTAATGGGCTAGAACTGCTGACCTTGTGGTTTATCCTACAGAGTTACCAGGCTCCCTTCTGACCTATTGTTGTTGTTAAGTGCCATCGAGTCGGTTCTGACCCATAGCGACCCTGTACAGGGTTTCCGAGGCTGTAAATCTTTACCGGAGCAGAAAGCCTCATCTTTCTCCCATGGAGCTGCTGGTAGTTTCGAACTGCTGAACTAAAGGTTCACAGCCCGATTCATAACCACTATGCTACCAGAGCTCTCTATAAAACAGAGTAGAACTACCCCAGTAGGGTTTCTTAGGGTATAATCTTTATGAGTAGATCTCTGGTCTTTTCAATCCTATGAAGCTGCTGGTGGGTTTGAACCACTGACCTTTCAGTTAGAAACCAAGCACTTAACCATTGCACTACCAGTGTTCCTTCACAAAAATCTACAGACCGCAAATATAAGTGCCCTCCCTGCCTAACTTCAAGCCAATCCTAGAAAAGTTACATGGGTTGGACGCAGAGGTGATTTGGCCTCTAAGGAGCTTGGGTGTGGAGAAGAGAAGGCCCAGTGGGTTTGGGGCCTGACCTGGAGAAAGCGTCAGGGTCTAAATGACCATTATAAGGTAAGGGGGTGCAGGGTAGGCAGAGAGGTCCCAAGTGGTCCAGTTCGATCATCTTTAAAGTAAGGGACATTCTAAAATGTTGCTATTTCCGTTATATTCCTGACCTAAACTCTGTGTCTACTAGGGATATATACATATATAGTCTTTTTAGACTATTGGAAGCGTGTTCTGTTCTGGAATTAAATCACATTTGGAAAATTTAGGTTTTTACATTTTCTCTATGAGGGACCTTCAGAGTCAGAAGCTGGAGTCCCATTTCATGGCTGAGGAAGTAGCGGCCAAGAGGTTGTAACTTGCTAAAAATTGCCTGGAAAGTTAACAGCCATACTTCAATTCTTTGTCTAGCTGTGCAGCCTCAAAAAAACCTGGCCATGCATTATGGAGACACATATAAAGATGTTTATTGAAGCAATATTTATGACAACAAAAATGTGGACATCACTTCTCAGTGTTGTTCAAGAGATCCGATAAACTGATAAACTGGGCTTTATCCAAATAATAGAATAAGTACAGCAGCTAAAGGAATGACTGATATTTATAGATATCCACATCCATAACTCTCCAAAACATACTGTGGCATGGAAAAGACCATTTGCAAAGTGATACAAACAGAATATTACATTTATGCTTATTTCAAAAACAAAATAGCCACATATGCCATTTATGGATGCTGCAAATGGTAAGAAGCGTAGAAATGTGCAGTGCTGTCTCTTACATGGGAGGCAGGGAGAAGAACTAGGGGGCGTTTGGGTTGTATTTTTAACATTTTATTTCTTTGTCTGAGAGAGTACACCAGCACGAAGGAGCTCTGAAACAAATGTGTTTCAATATTAACATCTGTTTAATAGTAGTAGTTGTGGGTATATGGGTGTGTCTTTTGTGTTATATTTGGCATATTGAATAAAACTGAAAAGAAGTAAATCTGACAGCCAAGCAGACTTTTCTTCATTCTGTTCTTGACAGAAATGTTAACCTCCCCAAGGCCCAGCAGTGGTTGCTCTTACTGTATGTGAGGTGAGAGGGAGGGGTGGAGGGCTCCATCAGACCAGGAGGGGGTACGTTCTCTGTTCATAAAAGACCCTTCTGTTCTGATCGCTTGAATGTTAGGAGCCTTCCAACCGTGGATGAGTGGGTAGTAAAGGTCAGGGAGTTGGGCTTCTG